TTACCTGCGCCAGATTACGAACCCATGCAAACATCATCTGGCCACAGAGACAGTAAGTTTTTTTTCAAAAGTTGACGCGCTTCTTGGAAAGCAATGTTTAATTCGTGGCAGAACTTCCTGCATCGTTAACAGCTCGGGAAGATGAGACACGTCGTGGCCCATGGCGAACGCACGCGAAAGCAGGAGAATCTCAACCAACTCATTTGACTGGTGCAACCTCGCAGCGCTCTAGAAAGAGTCGATTGCATCGGTAAATAGGATTTTCATGGATTTTTCTTAATATAAAGCTTATCAAATCCGATCAATACCGTCTTTAAAAAACTTGCGTTTCGCTTCAGTCGCAGAGACCCGCAATCTTCGTAATTCGAGCACATTTGCTGTTCATTGGCATTATTTTCTGCCGGTCTAGTCAAATAAAATTTTGACCTCTGAAAATTTTACGTAGGATTTTCTAGGGCTAATGCCTCTAGGTGCTATAGGCAGCAAATTAGAATGAATTGAAGTGCGTTTAGGACAAAGTCATTTGAAAAATTACAAACATGCAATTATAGCTGAGTGGGGCAGCAGAAAGTTTTCTAAAGAAATTCTTGCAAAGAAGAAATCTTTTTTTCCAGACAAACACATTCAATGTCGTCATCTGAGGAGGATTTACCGTCCACATGTGTATCCTATGATGAAGAGACACAACGGACACCTAGTGAATGCATTTCTGAAAAGGGTTTGTGTAGGTTCTTGCACGTGATCGCACTAAGGCTCAAATTATTGATTGATAAGTTTATATCTCAGATTTGCTACGATACATCTATGGTTCGGACAAGTTAAAGAACAGTCGTAAAAGTATGTTGTTAGAGGATTTTCGAAATAATCTCCTACTTACAGTTGAAAGCAGATTCGCAAAATTATGTACTTAAAGGTGGATTTTTGCAATTACGACATTCGGCAGATGAATTTCGCCCTGCACCACGTGAACCTTCTGCCACACTCGTTCCCGGAGATCTGCTTGCTGCTAAAATTCGCACTTATCTCTCCGTTAGTGCTTTTTTAATTTAAATGGCCATATTTATTGATAGTGTACTAAACCGTTCCAGCATCCTGTCACATGGCAGCCATCGGCAGATCAACGAAGGTTAATTGGACATATGGTTCTCACTAAAACGGATAACTCAAGATCTGGAGATCTTGGGCTCAAGGTAAAACAACAGTTATTCAAGTTATCTTGGAAATTAGATCAAGAAGACTTACAAAAGTGTATGAATAGTGTGCACGTTCGGATCAAGTTGATTGTTATTCCAATCATTCCTTGATTTATATTATTCCAATCCCTGATTTCCAGTGGTGAGTGCTGTTTTCGTAGTGAATGATGATTTCAGGTGGTAGGTGGACGCCGCACTGATACTGGTCGCTTAGGAGCTTTCATCACACGGGTCAAACCAGGAAGCGTGGCGGACACAATAGGAAGACTTAGAGCTGGTATACTGTCACCTCCATAAGCTTGTAACCTAAGACAGCCTAACGCGTTTATTAAAGGAGATGAAGTTCTTGAATGGAATGGACAAGCTCTCCAAAATGCAACATTTGATCAGGTGTACGAGATAATCTCGGCAAGCAAACAGGAGTCGCATGTTGAAATTATTGTCAGCAGATCTGCAAGGTAATATTCTTGGCTCTGTAAGATAATGTGCAGTACATCAACAGTTTTACTTCTTCAGCCATCGTGTGTCAATCTTACGGTACGAAAAACACTTGGAATACTTCTCTAGCTTGACAGCGCATTTTATGCATATATTTCGTTACCGTATATTGGCGCGTAAATGTCATTTTAGTGCATTTAACGCATGTTTTTAACCCTATAATATTGGTTGAAGAATTAATATTGTTTTATAAATTGTTTATAGTTCTATCCTACTTGCAAATTCAGCAAATTTTCTAAAAAACCTTTTCAAGCATACCGGGTGGGGACGACTTCCTGAATATTCAAACACAACCCAGGCAACTTCCGAGTCTACAGTACTTATTATGCGAAGGTATGTATCTTTTTCCTAAAATATTCTTCGCATGGGAGTCTTAAAATTATAAAAAGCTTGTTAATATCTTCCATTGTTTTAAACATAGCTAAGGGTTCAAACATCTGAAAACAATTTGAATAGAATGTGGAATAGTAGAAAAATGGAAAGAAATGAAGAAGGTAGGTCGTTCCTGATTAAGAGTCTGACATAAAAGGAATTCATATAATTTACATAAAGTGTCGAAAGTTGAGTGTTCTCAAATACGGTAAAATGCCTATTTACTCCATAAGTCTGCATTCTTCTATAAGTTGAAACAAATTGTGTTTCAAAATAGATATTTTTCAGACAACGAAGCCTATGCTTCCCCAT